GAACTTGCGTCTGCTCTAGAACGAATGCAAAGGTACTGAAATCGCGATGCAGGGCTGACGCCATCGAGATTATATTGTCGATACGGCCCGGGGGGGAAAATTCATGGATATTTGGGAAATAACGGCGCAGACATCGCCAGACTCGAAAATATTCCTGTCGCTCATCATCTCGATGACTCTCTAAGGAAAATGGAAGAATATGAACGGCATCGAGGTGGGTTGTCAGTGCGGCAGACGGACGGTGGCTGTGATTAGTATCCCATGCCTTTGTTACCACGCATTGGTGGTTATCTCGCTGTAAGCAGATTCGCCGTGACACGCTCAGCCGTCGGGCTGCTAAGTTGAGATCTCGTGAGAGGATGTTCTCCATAGAGCCTTCTGTTTCAAGGGGCGGGGTGGTTCCACATGTGGCTATCATCGGCCATAGCAAATATGTGTCGAGGTGACTTGCGAGTTCTCGTATCTCGTCGTCATCATTGCAGTCGCTTGCATCGTCGGCCAACTGGACTTGACCTTGGGTGGGAAGGAATCGAAAGACAGCACGCAGGAAATAGACTGTATCGTCATCGTCATTCAGTGATTGATAAGTGCCTAGCCTCGCGACAATCTTCTGTCGAGCAGTTTTGTAAGTTTCAAATTGGGCTTGATTGAGATTGGGTTGGGACAGATCGTCCAACAATATATCAGAGATGGAATCCATGATCAAGGTCCTGGACAGTGAACTTGAGTACTCCGTAGGTCTTCACTGAATAAATACCGTACGATATTGAAATGGAATACGGAGTAAACCGACAATTGAATACATTACCCGCTAGTTCCCATTAGGCAGCGCTGCAAACCGTCCAAACTCCCGATTTAGTCCGCCGTACCTGGCCGAATGTCCACTGACGTGTCGCTGCTCTCCACCTCAACCAACTCGCTTGAAATATTGGATAGTATATATAGATTAGACTTCGCTCGGATCTTCGCATCTTATCGGTCCAAAGTGCGGGGCGTCCGCAGAGAACCAGTTCCCTGCAGATGATGCGAACCGGATGGTTTCTTTGTTCGCCTGGAACTTTCCTCTGGTTCTGGCCATTTGCCCTGCGGTGACTGGCGATTTCAACCTGCGATTTGAGCGGTTAGCTGCATGTTAAACATAAATGGCACAGTGGATGAAACCAAGGAAGAACATTCTCCCTTTATAATCCTTTTCTTTCCCTGGGGTTTGGATTCCCAAGGTCACAATGTCAGACCGCAATATCAATCTCCTCAGCCTAGACGGCGGCGGAGTCCGCGGTCTCTCCTCCCTCATCATCCTCAAGGAAATCATGGAATCCATCGATCGCGAAAACCCCCCCAAACCATGCGACTACTTTGATCTGATCGGAGGGAGCGGATCGGGCGGGTTAGTTTGGTTTCACCATTCCCTATTCCATGGGAGATCCTCACCTCTCCAGATTGATAGCCATCCTGCTCGGACGTCTCAAAATGGATCTCGGCCAATGTATCCACGCCTACAAAGTGCTCTTGAAGAACGTGTTCGCGCAGAAAAGACTCCTGAGCGGTTTTCGCAGTCGGGCGAAGTTCGATATCCGGCGGGTGGAGATGGCCTTGCGCAGGATTTTGAGGGAACTGAGTTATGAGAAGGACGTTCTGCTGCGTGACGAGGATGAGTCTTGTAAAGTGTATGTTTCTGCCCCTGGTGTTTTTCGAGACGCTGATTATGTGCAGCTTCGTCTGTGCGACGGATGACTCCAACCGGAAGTTGGTCCACTTGACCGGCTACGCGAGCAAGTATTGCTCCACCGAGCTTTTCAAGTCCGTCCGGGTGTATGAGGCGGGCGCGGCGTGTTTTGCGCAGGCGTCGCTTTTCGATCCGGTTCGGATTGCGCCCGGGGGTCGGCGGTTTCATGATAGTTCGCTGGAGGCGAATAATCCGATGAGGGAAGTCTGGATCGAGGCGAGAGGGGTATGGCCGGCTGGGGCGTTGGAGAATCGGCTGAAATGTATGGTGTCGATCGGGACGGGGGAGCCGTCGATCAAACGGTCGCGGCGGCGATTGTTTGGCTTGGTGAAAGGGTCGGGTGTCGATGTGGTGGACCCGGAAATCGACACCAATCGGTTCATCCAGGAGCATACGGAGCTGGACGATGAGAACCGGCTGTTCCGCTTTGATGTTCCCAACGGGCTGGCGGAGATTGATCTGGACAATATTGAGGAGATGGAGACGATTGTTGACGCGACGCGAGATTATCTCGAGAAGGAGCTTGTGTACAAGCAGATACGGAGGTGTGGAAAGGCGCTTGAGTGATGGGTATCTGGTGTGCTGAGATTACTGTGGATATATTCTGCTAATTATGTTGGATATCACTGAAGCTATAAGAATCCGTGCGTGTCTGAACAGAGGGAAATGTTCATTCTAATGGCTACATTCCTTTGCCATCTATGAAAAATGCCACAAAGTTCAGAATCAAGAAGTTTCTGCCTGAATCATATTCAGGTGTCGATGGAATCAACTTTCCTGATTTGGCATCGGAAAAGCCCTAGGCGGGGGCTTCAAGATTAGATTGACTTCAATACAATATCATTGTTCTTATTCTTATTTGAAGATTCGAGATGATAGAATACTCCGTATTGTTCCCCTGTATACCCCAGGATAAAGAATGTTTGTATAATCATCTGGATACCAGGAATCAACCAGAATGGAAGAGTCATGACACTGCCAGGAATCAACTTGCAAATGGAGTACTCCATCATCTCGACGTCCGTACTCCGTACATGACCCACATACTCAACAGAATTCAGTCTGGCCGTGCTCTTGGCATCGCACTTGAGCAGATTTCCTGCTTGGCAGCCCACTTCACACCTCCGTGGTAACGTGGTGACGGTGACACTTTAATATGGACGTCCCCCGGGGCCGTCCGTCATGTTCCAAGTCTTCTGCAAGAGTCCAACGTCCCATTCGACTCGATGATGGCCCATGACATCCCTGAGAGTGGCCCCGGCGTCGAACATCACTGGGGATACTATAATCGCCAACTGCCGTGCACCAGTGATGCAGGCAAGTGTGCGTATCTAGATACCGTGTACCACAGCCATGACCTGTCCATTCTGTATAGCGCCATTCTCTGGGCTGTGGTGCTCGGGATTGTCATCTTGTGCTTCATCGCCCATTACTGCAACCCGATCTCTCGCAGGTCCACGCCGTGCGTCCAGAAAGAGGATGTACGCAAGCATAACTCGCAGAGCGGTCTCTACCGCTTGAGACGGTCGTTGAGCGCGCTCTACCACCGCTATCTCCTCCAGGAATCGCTCCACCCCATCTTCGGCCGCACCACGCGGTTCAACGTTCTCGTGCTCGCCATCCTGGCTGGCTACTTGATCATCTTCAGCTTTGTCGGCATCGTCTACCAGACCTGGTACAGCCCCGTCCCGGGAACGAGTCTCCGCTCGACCCGCGTCGGGCTCGGACCGTGGGCGGACCGCATCGGTGTTCTCGCATACGCCTTAACCCCCCTCGCCGTGCTGCTCTGCACCCGCGAGTCTCTTCTCTCCCTCTGCACGGGAATCCCGTACCATCACTTCAACTTCCTCCACCGGTGGCTCGGTTACATCATCTACGTTCAGTCCGCCCTTCACACCCTCGGCTGGACCATCGTCGAGGGCAAGCTGTACCAGCCACAGCCCGAGACCTGGAACCCTTTTGTCGCGCAGGAATACATCATCTGGGGCATCGTGGCCATGATATTCCTGTCGTTCCTGGTCTTCTTCAGCACCACATGGGCCATCCGCCTCACCGGATACGAGTTCTTCCGCAAGACACATTACGTCGTGGCCATGCTCTACGTCGGCGCCTGCTGGGGCCACTGGGCGCAGCTGTCCTGCTGGATGATCGCCTCGCTGGTCGTCTGGCTGCTGGACCGGGGGACTCGGCTTTTGAGAATGTTCCTGACACACTTCGGCCCGCAGCCTGACACATCCTCCTGGGGCCTCCACATCCCCAAAGCTCGCCTGACCTGCTTCCCCAACGCCGAAGACGGCGACGTCGTCCGCCTCGACTTCGACCACGCCCACAGCCCCTGGGAAATCGGCCAGCATTTCTACCTCTGCTTCCCCAGCCTCAGCATCTGGCAATCCCACCCCATGACCCCCTGCTCCGTCCCCGGCGGATCCACGCAGTCCCACACGTATATCATCCGCGCCAAGCAAGGCATCACCAAAGACCTCGCCCGCCAAGCCCCCACCCCCACCCCCATCGTCCTCTCCGGCCCCTACGGTCAACCCACCGTCGACAACGACCTCCACTGCACAGACGACATCAACCTCTTCTGCCTCGCCGCCGGCACCGGCATCACCTTCATCCTCCCCCTGCTCCAAGCCATCGTACTCACCCGCTTCTTCCCCTCCCGCCGCAGCCTCGTCGAGCTCGTCTGGATCATCCGCCGCACCTCCGACATGCAATGGCTCGCCCCGGAACTCCACGCCCTCCGCTCCGCCGCCCAATCCTGCCCCCATTTCCACATCCACATCTACATCACCCGCGAGGGCCCTGCTAACATCGATCCCTTCATTCCTGATTCCGAACCCCAATTCACAATCCACCCCTCCCCCCCAAACATCCCCTCCCACCTAACAGACTTCATCCACCGCACCCCCCCCAACCCAACCCGCGTCCTCGCCAGCGGACCACAGAGTCTGATCTCCTCCCTCCGCACAACCATCGCATCACTCAACGACCCAACCCAAGTATGGAGGGGTAACGAGCGTCGCGACGTATCCTTGTTCCATGACGAGCGCTAGTTCGGACCTGGTTGCGTGCCGTTTGGTTCTTGTATCGTGTTGGATTCTTGTTCCTACCTTACCTTACTATCTATCTATCTATCTATGTTATATTGTTATGGGATGATATGATATGATATTATATCGTGGTGTATGTAGTGTTTAGAGAATACACTGGTTGGCATACGGAGTAAACAATTTCACTATTTTAATATAATAATAAATGCAATAAAAAAAAAAGCCGAACGCGGGGGTCGAACCCGCAACCTTGAGATACCGTGGACTTTAATAACCTTAAGAGTCTCACGCTCTACCGATTGAGCTAGCCCGGCTGGGTATGATTTGCTGGCTTGATATTTTAGTATTTTGTATTTGAGGGTGGGCGCTTATTCTAGTTTGTTTGGTGGTTTGTATGGGGTGGAGTATGTTGATTCTATGTATTTGTGAAGTTTTTAGTGGTGGGTATTCTTGCTTGGGGGGATATGTGTTTATATTTTGTTTAGTACGTACTACTACTAAATACTGGGAGGGAGATTTTACTTGTATTTATATTTTGAATTAGTAGTTACTACAAGTTATGCTTGGAAGGAGATTCTATTTAAGTATATTTATTTGAATTATAATTACTTACGCCTGGAGAGATATTTTACTATATTTATATTTTATTTGGTAATTACTTATGCTTGGAGAGAGATTCTACTTGTATTCACATTTTTATTTAGTACGTATTCATGCTTGGAGGGAGATGCGTATTTACATTTCTAATTAGTAGTTACTTTTGCTTGGAGAGAGATTTAGTACTAAGTTATATTGATATTTCCAATTAATACGTACTCATACTGGGAGGGAGGTCCTCGACCCGCCTTCCCCAGGTGCTTTCCTTCAGGCCCAGCTCGAGCTCGAGGACGCCGCCCTGGGTGAAAAAGTCATGGCCGATCCAGTTCTTGGTCCACGGCTTGCTGTCCCGCGTAGCGCTCTGTATGTAGATGGCCTTGTACTGGGGATCGAAGTTGCGGTTACGGATCGTTGCAACTGCACCCGTGACTTTATTTCGGATGCTGATTTCTTTGAAGAACGGCGGTGTGATGAGATACACGTCTTGTCCGTGCACGGGGAACAGCCCCATCATGCTCAGCACGGCGAAGGCACCCATGGCGCCGCCGTCGTCGTTTCCCGGGATCCCGGACGCTGATGTGTTGAATTGGGACGGGATGTAAAAGTGGGTGCGCGCGGCGGAGAGGGCGGGTCGGCCGGCGTAGTGGAATTGGAAGACGGTTAGGAAGGCTTGCTCGTCTCCGACGTAGAGGAGGCCTGAGTCGTGGAGGTGGGAGAGTCGAGATGTGAAGAGCTGGGGTCCGCCCAGTCGCTTTATCAGCGTGGCCATGTCTTGGGGTGCGTAGCTGCGGGCGGTTAGCTTGGGATGTTATATCAGGGAGGACGTACAAGGTGTAGAGCCAGCTGCTGCCTTCGTATGTCTCGTGTCCGTCTGGGTTCAGGTAGCAGGATGTGAAGTTCATCAACGGGCTGCAGAAGATCGGATCCTGGTATCCCCATGTCCCGTTCATGTAGCGAGGCTGCAGGAAGCCGGTGAAGTTGGTGTCGATGCCGTTGATTGCGGATTTTTGATCCTCCTTGAACATGTTCTGCCAGTTGGATGCTCGTTTGGTGTATTTCTCATAGTCGCTCAGGTGGCCCAGTCTCTTGGCCACTTCGGCAATGCAGAAATCGTTGTATGCGTATTCGACGGTGCGCGAAATGCTGCGGGTGTGGAGCCCCGTGCCGTCGGGATCGTAGTCGTCGGTGGGGATGTAGCCACGCCCTTTCCAGCTGCGGAGGCCACCGCGGCCTTCCACGGCCCAATTGGCCGGCTCGACTTCTGCATCCTTTACGATGGCCTCGTAGGCGGTGTTCCAGTCAACGTCGCGAATGTTCTTGAGGAAAGCATCGGCGATCAGGACGTCTGCATTAGAGCCTCCTTGAGTGTAGCCTTTGCAAAGGGACATGCGACAGTCGGGTAGATAGCCTTCGTGGCGGTAAATGTCTACCAGGCTCCGGATCATTCGGGACTGAGACAAGGGATCCATCACGGTCAGCAGCTGATGTACGCCACGATACGAATCCCATATGCTGTAGTCTGTCAGCGACGTAGAGGTCAGCTCCAGCGGGCCTCTCACCAGTAGAAGCTGTCGTAGTATGGCTCATTGCTTTTCCAAAGCGGGTTCTCCCCTGTGTAATCCTGAGGGCTGATCATGGCTCGGTATGCACCGCTCCAGAACACCTTTTGCAGATCGGACGAGACTCCGTCAGCGTTGATGCGAATCACATTCAGCTTATCTCTCCATGCGGATTCCGCTGTAGACACCGTGCCAGCAAAGTCGAAGTTCGGCTGCTCTGTCTCTGCGTTTGAGCAAGCCTGCTTCACACTCATGAAGCTGACACCCACTCGTGCAGTGATTGTATTATCCTTCAAGGCATGGAATCTGGCAAAGGTGCCAGCCGAGAACACGGCTGGAGTGTTGTTCCCGTAAGCAGTGATAGTGACTGTTTTCTGACTGAAGTTGGCCTTGTTTTGAATCCATATCCCTGTGTCGCGAACATCGGCGCCGTGGAAATCTACACAGAAATGAAGCTCGTACGACCCAATGCCAAAACTCGGATGGAATGTGGCGTTCCCGCTTAGACGTCCAGACGGATCGACGGAGGCCGTGCCATCTTTTCGCGACTGGGGCAGATCCATGAGATCGACCAGAACAACTGGACTAAGAGACTCGGTGGATACATTGCTAAATGTGAATCGATATAGCGCGGAGCGATTCGTCACCGTCATCTCAGCGCGCACGCCATTCTCTAAAGCAATGCCGAAATAACCTGGTCTGGCTCTGAGCGAATCTCGCACCCATGTCACTGCTCGGTCGGTTTGCTGCCATTTGCACTTATTGATATCGTCGTCTGGGCAATTCGGCTGAGCGAAAATCGGGAAGTTTCCCATAGATGGCGACTAGAGCAGTCAAAACAAGTTGCCAGATTGTCTCGATCGTTACTTACACCACCAGTCCCCGAGTCGTGTGTATGTGAGAAGCCCGTCACGGTTTTAGTGTCAAAGGCAAAGCCAGCCTGATTCTCACCCTGGGTGTCTGCTACTGCTTTTGCCATGCCTTGAATGATGTTAGTGGGCATTTGTTTTCGGGTAAAGACCAGTCACCAAATGGTAGCGTCGCTCCAGCAAAGGAATGCCCTTTAATACTCAATCAGAACGCATTGCAGGATAGTCCTTTATGCAGATACATGCCTCCATTGGCTGTCCCAATAAGCGGATCAACATAGTCTAGGACATCAAAGCCATTGTCACCCTGTTGCCCCCTTGCTAGAGGAAGCGAAAATACCAAGACGGTCTCGAAGAATTTCCTCGGCGTTAACCACATAATGTGTACTCCGTAGATTGAGTCGAATCCATACAATCTCAGTACAGATGGCAAGCATAAGTATCAAATGCAGAGAAAGGGGGACCCCGCACCTTTCTTTGTGCTTTGCCCTGGTTCTTATGTGGCTGGGCTATGAGAATGACAGGGCATCCGCCCAAATACCGGACTGTCTCCAGAGGAGCATCTCCCTGCAGTCCTCACGTAGCCATTAAGCGTTGATTGGATGGTTCGGTGATTCATCTCCAGTTGTGACGTTAAATGACCTGTTGGAGAAATGGCGCAGCAAGGGTCGCTGCAATTGGTAACGACAGGCTAAGAGAATTCGTGCCACATGAAAAGGACAGCCGGTACTCCGGATTCCATGTAAGAATCAAGTGCCGATCATTTCGAATGCAGTGCTTCCACTATAGGTACTCACTATACTCCGTAGGTACTCACTATAGCCCGGTACTATAGCTTCAGAAACCCCGCAATTGGGATGTTGCACAGTAAGCAATGACCTGACCCCATGATCCAGACTAACAGATGAAATCGTATGACCGTGGATTTAGCTGTAGTACGTGTACTATTATATGTTGACTTCCCCTTGGCAGCGAGCTATGATCTCGAGAACTGCCCTTTGCAGACCACTGGCAATTATGACGGGAAGATTAATTAAATGTTGAGGTCCTGAAGTCCCTCATAATACGTTTCAGTTGTCTTCAAAAAGTACCACGTTCTGTGTTGGCCATGAACTTTGGCGCAGATACTGAAACTAGCTGTCAAACTAGCTGTCAAAATAGCTTTCAAAGTGAGTCTTGAGACCTCGTCGCTAGTCTTCCCAGAGTTTACTGAGAGCGAGATATACGGCGATGAGACCATGGCTATGATAGCCGTGTCGACATAAGGTTGTGATCTCGGCCCCTGAAATTATGCATGTCGTGTGAGAAACATGTCTGCAATCAAGTTACGGAGGATAGAAAACCAGGGCAAAGTACATGACGCCAACATGTCTTGACTTAAAGCAAATCCATCACGATTCGGTCCCACGACTTGCCGGTCGTATCGGACGACGGCCTTGGCAAATTCAGGGGAGTGTTAGTTGGAGGAATGATTATAGGCTCGTTCGATGGCAACCTGGCCGTAAAGTATGCCCGAAATCTGCCATTTTCGTCTTGCAAAGCGGCATTCTCTGTCTTGAGATCCAGTACTTCCCGTTGCAGCGCTTTTTGCGCTTCAAGCTCGGTAAAAAGAGACGCTAATTTCAACAGCAGTTCAGGCCTAAAGTCTTGACCAACAGGGAACTGGCCGTAATCTACCAGAAAGTCCCTGACGCGGGACAGAATGTCTGTCTCCTGGGTCGCTGAGATTCTAGGATAAGCAAAAGATTGCTGTCGGTCTGCATCCGGGGAAGAATGCTTTGACGGGGTTGAGGTAGACCCTGTCGCTGGCCCTATGGCTACTGGCTGGTGCACAGCCTGAGGGGCATGCTCGGAAGGACTAGCCACTCTGCTATGGCTATTAACTCCGGGAGTGCTACACCGTGAGGGAGTTGACGACGGGGCGGACCTGTCAAATTGGGGTGGTGACTGGTCCCACTGCTTGCGCTTGCAGGCTGGACAATAAAATTGCTCACTTAGCACGGATGCGTCGTGCGATAGTAGGCAAGATGCATGGTAAGACCGGCAGCAGGTCTCACACAGCTTCAAGTTGCCTGGACTCCGACAGCTGGAGCAGACTATATTGTGAGGTTTCCCAGTACCTAGCAGCATTAGCAAGATTCACGTACACGAGACTATCAGAAGTAACTAACGGATCCATTCGTCGTATATATGGGTTTTTTCTATGTCCGAGAAATGTCCAAAATCGGCTCGTTCATTGTTAGATGTCACTGCAGAGCGCAATGGTTGCGATAGTATCGTGTCCTCGAT